TGTATGCACAAAGCAGCTTCCTACAGCAAATTATTCGGTCCAAAATGTTAGTAGTGCTGAGGTTGCAAAGCCCTACTTTAGCCTTTCTGAGCTTCGGTTTCCTCCGTTGTAAAACAGGATTAATTATGCTGGCCTCATGGGTTCTTACAGAACGTCAGTCAACCAAGTGAAGACCTCGCAAACCACAGTGTTGCCCAGATAGGTGACACGCTGGGATTGTTTCACGTCAGCTGAGCAGAATTCGGTAACAGAGGAGCAGGCAGAGCATGGATAGGGGACTATTTGCAATGGTCCAAGCCCAGTCTAGGGGAACCAGAGGGATAGTGCAGTACCTGGGGAGGGGAGTGCTGGAGCGGTCACCATCCTCCAGCCACAGAGATGAGGGAAGGAGCAAAAGGAGAAAGTTTTCCAGAGGAGGCTGCGTGGAGAGCAGCAGGGAGCATGTCCTGTGTTGTTTATCTGAAATTCACATTTAACTGAGCATCCTGTATTCAGCAAAGTCCCTTCAGATCACACTAAGTATTGTCAGATATTACTCTCACTATTCCCCAGCTTCTGGTGGTAAACTGTGCAAAGGAAGGAGAGATTCAAGGCCTCCCATGTCTTAGGAAGGGTGCATAAGCCCCCAGTGTCTGTGTAGATATAACCTCACCCCTGCTTCCTCCTATGAGGCGACCCATCTCCTTTTCTTGATCAAAATAATTAACAATAATGAAATGTGTATTAGTTATTTATCACAATGTGATCAGGATCAGGGATTGAGCACAACTTAGCTCTGAGCAAGAAGAGCTCAGTCTCTCACAAGGTTGAAATCAAGGTGTTATCCAGGACTACAGTCATCTCCAATCATCTCTTGGGGAAGATTTACTTTTTTGGGGGGAGGGATCTCTTGAAGGAATTTATTGTGGAGCACTCTCCAATAAAACCTTAAGATTTTTTTAGTATGTTTTTATCTATTCAACAAATATTTATTGAGTACCTCTGTGCCTATAGCTATTAATAACAATAAATTCCAAACGCACTTGAACATTGAAATTTCAAGGATCAAATAACTAAACACAGACCAAAATATGCCCAGGTGTTTTGTTTGAATTTGGGAGCTGGGGAATCAGAGGAAGAAAAGTTGTAGTTGTATGTAAGCAATGACAGTGCATGCAGGTTACCTTCCAAACCTCACTGGACAGGTTTAAGCTCAAAGAGAGTTTAAAATCAATTCATCACCCACTTGTTGGCAGGATCTAGTTCCTAATGGGCTGTGATCTATGGCCCTTAGTCCCTCATTGGCCTCACCTGGAGACATTAGCCATGTAATTCAACAGATTCATGCCATGTGGGCCTCTCTGTTGGGCAGCTCAGAACGTTGTAGGTGGTGTCATCAGAGAAAAAGAGTGAGACATCAGGAGACAAGAGTGAGATGGAAATCACCATCTTTTATAACCTAATCCTAAAATGACTTCCACCATTTTTGCTGTGTTCTATTCATTAAAGAAAGTCACTAGGTGACACTTGTAGGACACCTAGAAGGGAAGGGAATGACATTAGGGTATGAATACCAGGATGTGTGCATCACTGGGAGCCACACCATCCAGTTGGGACCTTTCCCTTCTCAGGGAGCAACAAGTACAGATAGAGTCTCTGTTCTGTGGGAGAGATAGAGTGTGGCAGCGAGAATGCGGACACCCTCATGACCCCACGCAGCCGAGACCAAAGAACATCAGTCGCTTTCCCATCCGGTACCTTGTACAGATGATCTCACAGGAATAGAACAGCCCAGGCCTTGCTGTGCCAGGTCTCCTGGTACCATTGCCAGATAGTCATAGGCGAAGAAGGAATTGTCATGTGCCAGTGGCCAAGAGGCTGCCATGGGCTTTCTCCATGCGGGAATGGTGGTAAAGCATGATGGTTAAGAGCATGGCATCTGGAACTTACTTTCCCCATAGCCAGCTTAATCTTCAACTCAGTTATACACTAGTGTGTGTCCTTGAGCAAGTTACTGCACCTCCCTTTGCCCTGGGGGCAAACTGTGACAGTCCTTACCTCTTGAGGCTGTTGTGAGGGTTAACAGGTGAGCTAATTCATGTAAAATACTTTAACCAAAGCACACAATTATCACTCAATAGTTTAAGCTATTATTTAAGTTATTATTGCTGCATAACAATTTACTCCAAACTTTGCAGCTTAAAACAACCCTTTCATTATGGTGAGGGTCAGGAATCCAGACAGGGAACAGTAGAGATGGCTTGTTTCTGTTCTACAACGCCCAGAGCCCCAGCTGGAGAGATCTGGTGTCTGGGAGATGACTCATTCTAGAGCTGAGGCTAGGATGACCGAAAGGTTAGAACCACCCACTGGAGCCATGTAAGCATGGCTTCTGTGTAGCCTGGGCTTCCTCACAGCATGGTGGCCTCAGGGGAATCTGATTTCCTACATCGGCAGTCCGCAGCCCCCAGGCCTCTGCCCAGAAACGATCTGTGGCCTGTTAGGAAAGGCTGAGAGTGGCTGCCTGAGCTCTGCACCTTCCCCACCGCCCCACGCCACCCCACCCCCACTTCCAGTCCGTGGAAAAATTGTCTTCGATGAAACCAGTCCCTGGTGCCAAAAAGGTTGGGGACCCCCTCAGGGCATCCATCAGGCAGCAGTGTCCCCTTGACCCAATGTCAGAAGTTACACAAAGTTACTCTGCAACCTACTGGTCAAAACAGTCACTAGCCCACCTAGATTTCAAGGGTGGGAACAAAGAATTTTTGAGCCATTGTTTTCAAACTGCGCCTGCTATTATTATTTTCAGAACTGTACAAGGATCGCTACGAAGGTCTTGTTGATGCTGTCTTCTTTGCCGAGGTACTCTTTGTGTCGGACACGGACAGATGCGTGTGTATCTGCCTGTAGGGTGGGGTTGGTGTGAGCATGGCTGGGAGGGGGTGCAGCCCGGTACACGTGCGTGAGCATGCCTGTGTGTGAGCACACCTGCAGAGTCTGGGTCAGCCTGCACCACGTGAGTGCTGAGCTTGTGCATGTTTTGCCTGCCCGTTTTCCGGAACCCCAGGCTCATATGCAGCTGCCCGCCTGTTTCCACGTGGACGCCTAACGAGCGCCTCGAAGGTCACACGGCCCAAACGCGAGATCTCATTTTCCAGCCCAAGCTGCTCCTGTCCCAGTTTGTAAGTCCTTACTGAGTCTATCTCCAATCTGCCTACTTTTCTCCAGTCCCACCACGGTCATGTGAGTCCAAACCAACTTCACCTCTCACCTGCAACAGCCTCCCTCTTCCTGCCCTTGCTCCCATAACCTGTCAGAATTGCTGGGGTGTTATTTCTCCTGTCCTTTGGGATGAAATCCGCATGCCTGACCCTGGCCTCCCAGAGCCCCTCCCGCACCTGTCTCCCTCCATGGTCCCTGTCCTCTCCTTGCTCCAGACACGGCTTCCTTTCTGTTGGGCTGTATACCCCACAAGCTCCTCCCCACCTCGAGGCATTTTCCTTTGCTGTTCCCTCTGCCTGGAATGTCAGGTCTCAGCTCACATGTCCTGTCCTCAGACCAGCTGAGCTAAAGCAGCCACCTGTGCCTCCCTACCCCACTACCCTCGTTGAATTCTCTGCCTGGTCTTTATTGCTGCCTGGTATTTCTCAGGCTCCTTTAGTTAGCTATTTTTCATCTTCCCCCACTAGAATGTAAGCTCCAGAAGAGCAAAAACCCTGTCTTTTCTCCAGCACCCCAAGCCTAGCTTAGTGCCTGGCCCACGGTAGGTGCCCCAGCCTGCGTGGAACGAATGAATGAGGAATCCGGGGGAGTGGCTCAGCCAGTGTAGGTGCGGGTGGGTACACACGCTGTGGAGGTCAGACCAGTGTGGCCCGCAGAGTCTGGGGAGTCTCCTCCCGGCCAAGAGGCCAGGGGAGGACAGTGCGGGGGTGGGAGGGGACCTCTCGCCAGGGAGAACGTCCGGAGGGGGATCCAGGGAGGATAGTGCGCTGGGGTGCAGCCCTGGGAGGTCTACCCGCGTGGGGCCAGGGTGCCCCAGGGAAGGACCACCGATGGGTCCCCCCAAAGGGAGGACAGCAGGTGGTGAGGGGGTCCCAGCCAGACAGGGCCGGCCGGGGGCGGTCCTGGGCTCCCCTGCGTCCCGCCTCCAGGCACAGGGGGCCAGGGCTGGCCGACGTGGCGGCGCTGCTGGCGGGCGGGGAGGGACGCAGGCGGGAGGCGGGCCGGAAAGTTTGTCCAGCGGCCGCGGCGGGGACTCTGGCCGGGGGATGCGCGGCCAGCCCGCCCCCGTCCCCAGCTCGCCGCGGAGTCCGGCTCGCCATGGGTAAGTCCCGACCGGGCGCTGCCCGCGGGGCGCGGCCGGTCCCGGGTGAGCACCCGCCGCGCCCCTCGCGGCCCCGCAGCGCCCGGCCGGATGCGGCCACTCGGGGGCAGGCCCGGGGCGCAGGCCCGCGCCGGCTGGGAAGGGGCTGGGCGCGCTTCCCTCCCGCCTCCATTCTGCCCGGAAAAGTGAGTGGCTCCTCGCTCGGTGTGGGCGCCTGCTTGGGCCCAGACACTTGCCTGGCGGCTTTGGTCCTGGCAAGCCCCGGCAAGCGAGATCGCCCCTATTCCTCAGGTGAAGAAATGGGGGCTCCAGAAGGAGCGAAGTCACTCATCAGTTCGCTGAGTGCTCTCGTGCCCCAGCCGCTGCTCTGGGCCTGGGACTCAGCGATCCTACAGAAGTACTGCCCTGGAGGCGATTGGGCACAGACAGCAGGGGGGGGGGAATGTAATACAGAATTGGGGGCGGGGGGGCGGAGAAGGGGGTGTCTTTGTTGCCACACAAGATGGGATTTCCATTTTTCTCTCTGGATTCAGAAGCCTCAGACGGTCACTCATTCAGTCGTTTATTCTTTAGTGAGCACCTACTATGTGCTAGACTTTGGTTTAAGGCAGCAGACCCCAAGCTTTTTGGCAGCACGGATCACTTTCCGAAGACAATTTTTCCATAGACGGGATGGGGGTGGGGGCGATGGCGGGGCGGTGATGCGAGAGATGGGGAGCGGCTGTCAATACAGATGAGCCTTCCCTTGCTCCATGCCACGTGTGCGCCCACCCCTCGTAAGTTTCATGGAAGACAGTTTCAACACGCACGGGGAGTGGGGTGGGGGATTGGCCGAGCTCTGCGGCTGTCCCTAACAGGCTGGGAACCAGTACCAGTTCGCTGCTGGGGAGTTGGGGACCGCAGGCTTGAGGGGTGGGGATTCAGCAGTGAACAGGATGGACAATACTCCCCTCTCTCATGGAGCCGACAGTCTGACTGAGGAGCTGGATAAACGAGTTTATGAATAAGGTAATTTCGGAGAGCGATAAGGTGTAGTGGACACATCAAAGGAGGTCCTGTGAAGGCCGGGGGAGGTGGGTCCTTAGGTAGGTGGGCAGGGTCGGCCTCCCCACCTAAGGTGGCATTGGAGCTGAGACCTTACTCAGAAGTGGGCCTTGCTGAGATCTGAGGGAATAGGTTCCAGGGGCAGGAACAGCAAGTGCAAAGCTCCTGAGGCAGGGATGAGCTGGTGTGGTGCAGGCCAGGGTGGCTGGAGCACAGTGGGCGAGAGGAGAGGGCTCAAAGGGACATCAGAGAATTCAGCAGGGGCCACATCATGCATGGATTTGTAGCCCATGGTGAGAAGTTTGTATTTTATTCCAAATTACATAAGAAGCTGGAGGAGGGTGTTAAGCTGCTGTGGGAGGCATGAGCTGAATTATCTTTTAAAAACTCATTCTGGGTTCTATGGAGAATCATAATAGCTAACACCGGCTATGACATAGGTAGGCATATGAAGTATTATCCTATTTGTAGATGGGGAGGCTCAGAGAGGTTAAGTGAGTGCCCTAAGGTCACACAGCTACGGACAGGAGAAGCTGAAGTGGAACCCCAGCACTCTGGCGCTAGTCTGTGTTCTAGCCACTGCACAGCTGGTGACCGACTCCAGTTCTGACTCCAGAGTTCATCCTCTTAACCTCCACAGCATGCTTGCCCAGAGCCTGTCCTCCTGGGTCCCCGGCTGCTCTTGTCATAGCAGGGCCCGGGAATTGGGCTCTCTATAGACTTTGGGATCAGAACTGGGTTCTGACTGTCACTATAAGATACCCTTGTCCTAGGGCAGCCATGGGAATGGTGTGAGAAAATGAACTGAAAGTGCTCGGCTCACCACCTGCACACGGTAAATGGTCAGTTAACATCAGCTTTTATTTTTTAGCACAATCGATACTGGGACTCAGGAGTCAGACTGCCCGAGTTCAAGTCCCTCCTCTGTCACTTACAAATGGTGTCACCTTGGGCAAATGTCTTCACCTGTCTGTGCCTCTGTGCATGCAAGTTGGTTGGAAGTGAAAAGTGGCTTGGAGAGTTGAGGAAGACGTACAGGAATTAGTCAGGCCCCCTCTCACACTAGCTGAAGCAAAACAAGAGTCTTAATGGCTTCAGGTGCGGTTGGATCCAGAGGCTCAGACAATGTCTGGAATTCCTCAGGCAGAGGACGCCCCCAGCTGCTGCAGGCAGGTAAACCAGCAGCTCGGCAGCCCGAACCCCCAGTGAGCAAACACCCTTAGGCTGACTGTCACTGGCCCAGGTTCAGCCGGGTGGCATTCACCTCTGCCCAGGGCCCGGGAATCTGCTCATCGATCGGATCCGGGTCATGGACACAATCCTGGGGCTGGGCGCTGGGGGCAGAGGTGGGGACCATCATCTCCACCCAAACCAGGAGAACTGGGACAACAGGAAAGGAAGCAATGGATGCTAAATAGCAGGCGTGTATGACTGCAGGCTCCCTGGGGAGGTGACACGGGATCTGGGACTGAAGAGGGAGAGTAGGGGAACAAAGGGACCCTTTCTCAGGGGAACAAGAGTGGTGCAAGCCGAAGGACCAGCAGGTGCAGAGGCGGAGCAGCGTGAGGGTGTGTGCTGTGTGCTGGGAGCAAAGGTGTCCCGACTTCTTCGGGGCTCTCCTTTCTAGCTCCTTGGGACAGTGTCACTTCCCCGTGCTTTGTCCCTTGATGTTTTCCTGACAGCTCTTTCCCCTCAGCCTCCGCCCCTGCCCCGCGGCTGTGTCCCACCCCACCACCTATCTCTGATCGGCCTTTCTTGCTAGTGGGTCAGTGCAGCAAAGTCCTTAAGTACATGGATTTGGGAGTCCTGTGGGTCGCCATTTCCATCCTGATCCTGTTGCCTCCCAGCCATGAGAACACTCTGCGCCTTGCTTTCCCCGTCTGTGAAATGGGATAGTTGTAGCTGTATCGGTACCGCTGAGGGTTGCTATGAGGACGAACTGCGAGAAGGCACGTAAGTCTTTGACGGAGGAGGTGCTCCCCAGATGGTACCTGTTAAGAATTCTATTTTATTTCACTTGTAGTTTTATTGTTCTCGTACCACTGCAACCCAAATCTGCACTGATGTGTTTCCCGGCCGACCCATGGAACTCAGCTTGGCCTCCGAGCCCTTGGGCTGAGTTCCTGGAGAGGAACCCAGGAAATGGCACACAGATTCTGTGCTTTGACCTCAATTCCCCCCTACAGCCCGGAAGAACCTTCCTTTCTGGGAGTAAACCAGGAATGAGGGAGGGGGAGGGGGGCAAAGGGAGGTGAAGACAGAGCAGGGTCTGGGCAGCGTAATCTTCCAGGATGTTTGCTGGCATCAGGAACAGAAGCGCAAGGCCAGCTGGGGGTGGAAAGCGGTTATTTCCCTGGGGGCAGGGGGGGTGAGGGAGGAAGGCTGAGCAGAAAGGGGTGGGTGGGGAATGTTCCTCCAGATGGAACCCCTCCCCGTGCACAAGAATTGCCTAACAGATCTGGGAAGAGGCAGAAGGAAGAGAGAACAGAGTGGAATCATGTTACACCACGGCTTTAAAATGGGGTGGTCGAGAGTGTAATGGGGTGTTCGAGAGTGTAAGGCCTGTAGAGCCGACTGCCTGGCTTTGATTAGGGCCTCAGCTGCTTACTGCTACTTTGGACCTTAGGCAAGTCAAGTTCACCTCTCTGATGATCGGTTTATTCATTCATAAATAACACAAGAGCCTGCCTCATAAAGTTGCGGTGAGAATTAAATGGGTTATTAAACTTAAAGTGCTCAAAGCAGTGCCTGATCCAGAGAAAACACCCTGTACATCTGGCTATAGTATTACAAATGTTCCTCTCAGGTCTGGGGGCGTGGGGGTGGTGGTGGTGGTGAGTCAGATGGATACTGCTGGATTACTCTAGATGCTTCCAGAAATATATACTTTTAAGTGTGTAAATTGAAAACTAAGATCAACCTGTACAGCTACACTGTGGCTACTTTTATCTGTGAATTCATTAAAATTTTTAAAAAGTAAAAATTCAGTTCCTCCATCACGTTAGCCACATCTCAAGTGCTCAGTCCCTACGCGTGGCTGGTGCCCACCACATGGGACAGCATAGATGGAGAAATTCCCGCCATCACGGGACATTCTATGATATAGTGCTGCTCTAAGAAGAAAAGAAACAGGAAGTGCAGCACTCAAATCGGTAGTGAAAAAATGGAACATCAAAACCTTAATTGATCCAACAAAAGCAGAAGCAGAGGGAAAAAGAAGTATCTTGATAGTACAGTGAATAGAAGATACAAAAATAAACGTGAGAAGCAAATTCAAGCATATCGGGAATTTGCAATAAATTGCAAAAAGGTGGACAAGGTCACCTTTTCAGAGCAGAAGCGCTCAGATGGCACGCACAAGCGTCCCACTCTGCACTGCTTTTCGAGAGACACAAGCACACCACAGCAGTTTAACCTGTTGGGTTAGGGTGGTTTGCAAATGCAGAGACCCTGAGGGAGGGGGAAGCTGCCACCCGTCCAAATGTAGGTAAGGGTTTCAGAAGCAGGAGGGAGGTACAGTGTGAGTTGAGAGAGGCTCAACCCGTCTGTCTGCAGGCTGCTTGTGTGCCTCCACTGTTGGAACGGCTTCTGCTTTCTCTCTCCGCTGTACCCTGTGCTCAGGGCCCCTTCTGCCGTTCCTGATGCTGCTTCTATTTCTGTCTTTCCCCCTTGCTCACACTTGCCAAAGCGTTATCTGTTTTCTTAGTCATGTCAAAGAACCAACTTGAGTTTTAGTGATCAGCCGTCCTGTTGGTGGTGGTGCTATTTTTTTCCATTTCATTAACATCTGCTTTCATATTCATTCATTCCATTTGTTCCTTGGGTTCATGCTTTCATTTTCCTAGCTTCTACAGTCATAAATCCTCGCCCCAACCCCTCCTCAGCCTGCCCTAATAAAAAGTTAGAGTCGTTTGGCCTTAGGGCCAGTGCCTCTGTTTACTTTCTGGGGCTGTGCCTCCTCTGTCTTCTGAACTTCAACTTCGCACTTCTGTCTATCCTAAAGTTCGTCTGAGAATTCTTTCTCCCTGACATACAGACTTCACACCCTAACACCTGTTTCATTTCATCTTCCCACCAGCTCTGGGAGCAGGTAGGGCAGGTTTCATCGTCCCTGTTTTATTTATGAGCAAACCGAGACAGTTCACGTGCAGCTGAGGGTGAGCACAGAGCGAGGTGTGCACGGAAGGCGCGTAAAAGGAGAAGCTCAAGAATATCCTTAATACCAGAACTCTCAGATAACTGCAATCGTCCAGGCTGGGTGGGAAAAAGAAGCAAATAATGACAACAACAACAACAAAAAAAACACACCAAAAAAACCCAAAGCTACCGAAACCAAAACAAAACAAGACAAAGCCTTCTCACATGCCCACATTCAGCCGAGAATTTTCTACCATCTTCATTAGTTTGTTCATCTATAAAATGGGAATAATGAAGCACCTATTTCTTTGGACTTAGGAAGGATTTTACAGAATTATTATTATGTTTGAGCTCCTCCTCATTCATGATCCTCTTCATTTCTAATCTTTAGCCAGTGGTCCATTTGGATATAAATTAACCTAGGACTAAAAGCCCCACAATTTGAGATGCAGAAGTCAGAACCATGGTGCAGTTTAGTGTTCCCTGAGTAATGAAGTAGCTGGGTCGTGGCACTCTCCTAATTCCCACTAACTGACCTTGTGCTTACTCATCATGCACTCAGAAATCTCTATTCCACCTTAAAGGAGAAAAATGTTCGAATGGTTACTTTATCCATTTGTAAATAGACGTTGAAACAAACCTTTTATCAATGTGTCATGAACATTTTGGAAGAGACTGATCTAGTAATGTTTCCTCATTTTATAGACGGGCAAAGATGGATTCATATTTTGGTTATCTATTGCAGTATAACAAAACATCCCCAAACTTAATGTCCTCTACTAACAACCATTTTATTATATCTAATAGTTCTCTGGGTTGAATGGGCTCAGCTGGGTGGTTCATCTGCTGCTGTCTTCGGGTTTCTTATGAAACTACAGTCAGATGGCGGCTGCAGTTGGGATCATTTGGAGGCCTATATAGGATGCTGGTGTGGCTGGGCCTCTCGCCCTGCCTTTATTTTATCTAAAAGTTCTCTCCACATGGTTTCTCCATGTCACAGGGAGTAGCTAGACTTCTTACATGGTGGCTTGGGGCTCCCCCCAAAATATAAAAACTAGAAAGTGCTCAAGGACTAGGCCAAGGACTGGCACAGTATCACTTCAGGCATAATCTGGTGGTTAAAACTAGTCACAGAGCTACCGAGATTCAGCGTGAGAGGAAACCACGTAAAGGCATAAATACCGGGAGGCATGGTTCATTGGGAGTCATCTTAGGGACTAACTCCCACAGCCCAGAAAGGGAAAGAGACCAGCCTGTGTCACACAGTAAGTTAAACAGAAGTGTCACAAAACAGAAAAGAACCTTGTTTTCCTAACATCTAAAGCACTGTCCTTTCCTCACTACTGTGTATATAAAAATGACTTTGAAGTTCTACAAGTTCCTCAATTAATAAACAACAAAAATTAGTTTCCTCTCCCACCCAGAGTAAGAAAGGGTACTTTCCTCAACTAAGATGGAGAGGTTTCAGGTTCATTCCATGAATCTGGGAATTTTGTTACCTAGTATATTAATTGGGAGCTTTTTAATTATAATTTACATAAATAAACTGGATTTGGATTGAGGAAGAGGGAATATTTGTTGGCTCATGTAACTGGAGAGTCCAGTGGCTTGAGTAAGCTTCAGGCACTGCTAGACCCAGGGGTTCATACAATACTACTGGATCTTTGTTTCTTGTTCTCATTATCTTTTGGCTGTCTTTTTGTTTGTGTTGGTTTCATTCTCATAAAGGCCTCTGTACAGCATCACCAATGGCCATTTTGTTTCTGCTACTTGAGATTCTCAAAAATAGGGTCCTTTTTCCTTGTATGCATAGCAATTCCTTGAACGAGCCAGACTGTGTTCACTTGCCCATCCCTGTGTGTGGGTGGTAGGGGCATGTGACTGGCAGCCCCACCAGTGGCGAGGGGGCTCCTCCCCAAATGAAAAGGTTCCAGGTACACAGAAAAAGTAATAAATGTTCACTATCCTCAGAACTCTCTTTTCCTTGAAGATTTGTTTCTGTATAGAAGCAGTTGGAAACCGGTGCCAACGGGCTACATTTTGAGATGTGTTTTGTCTGGCCCAAACTATATTTTAATACATTCTTGGAATAGCATTTAAAAATCAAAAGAGAGTTTATAAAAATCTGGATTTCTGGCTTCTTTTTTTTTTTTTTTTTTTTAAAAAAAAACAAGCTCTTGGTTTTTCTTTTTAAACAAATCTGGCAGCTTTTGATTTTTCTGTATTCCAGTTTCTTTATCTGTCAAATAGAGCTATTAATGATACCTACCTTATAAGGTTGTGAGGATTACATGAAATGATGAGAAAATATCCTACACAGAGGGAGCAGTCATGAAATGGCAGCTACCCTTCTAATCACTTGCCAGGGGTTAAGTGTTCTCACGTGTTGGCAATACCTAGGGCTGCACTGTGACTTCAGATGACGCGTGAGCCACCAGTTTGCCACCGTCCTTTGTTGTCCTACATGCAGCCCATTTTACTCACTTATGTTAACTGGCACCTCCCTGCTCTATGGCATTTGCTCTTGAGTCTGTCGTTTCCGCTCTCATCTGGACCCTTGTACCTGGGTTCTCTCCTGCTGTCTGCTGATAGTGCTAGAAATAGAAACTTTCACTAAGTTAGACATTGTTAGGATTTTTTTTCCTATCACATACAAAAGTCTGGAGATTGACAATCCATTGTTGATATGGCAGGTTTACTGTTATCAGAGACCCAGGCTCCTTCTGTATTTTGTTCTACTGTGTCAGTGCGTAGCTTGCATCTTCATGGGCACCCCTCCACTGTGTTCCAGAATGGTTGCTGGAGCACCAGCCATAACATTTGCATTCCCGGCAAGAAGTAAAAGAACAAGAAGGACAGGCAAAAAAGGTGCTAGCCACCAGTCTGTCTCCTCCTACCCACTTGGAGAGCTTTTCTCGAAGTGCCACTGAAAAAAGTATCTCTTCTGTCTTATTAGCCACCTGTAGCTGCAGGAAAGGCTGGGAAATGTAATCTTTTAGCTGGATATAGTCCTGACACCAAAGAAGAAGGGATGAATGGACATTGGGTAGGCTACACTCACCTCACTTAGCATCTCTGTACATCACCGAGAGCAATCTTTTAAAAATTAAAAATAGACCGCCTCACTCCTAGCTGAAGCCATCAAAGATGTCCATCCGCTGAGAATGAAACTCATCATTGTCCTCAAGACCTGCAGAGCCCCACGTGGTTTGGCCCCTGCCTTCTCCTGGCTCCAGCCCCTCTGGCCTCCAGACGGATCAGCACAGCGATTTAAAGCCCTCGCTCTAGCCCTGTCAGCTCTGCCTCTTACTTGCTGTGTGACCATGAGAAAGTTTCTTAATCTCTCTGCACCTTGGAAGATGATGCAAATAACGTTACAGTGCTGTTGTAAGATTTAAATGAGAAAAAACATATAAAGTTCTTAAAACAGGTTCTGACACTTAGTAAGTACTAGTTATTAATGTTTGTAGTTGTTCAAACGTACCCAAAACTGCCCTACTTCAGGGCCTTTATGCTTGGTGTTCCCTCGGTCTAGAATATTCTTCTGCCAGATTTTTCCATGGCTTTCTCTCTCACTTCATTCAGATCTCTGCTCAGATTTCCCCTCTTCAGAGAGGCCTCAGCTGACTACCCTGTTTAAAATAGGGTACCTGCATCACTCTCAATTCTGTTGCCCTGCTTTATTTTCTATGATATCTTTCAACACCTGAAATTACATACTTATTTATTATCTTCCTATTTCTAGAATGTTAGGTCTTTGACAACACCACCGTATTCCAGCCCCAAGAACATTTATCTGGCTTGTTGCAGATGCCAGATAAATAAATTCAGATGGATGGAAGGGTGTGTGGATGGGGATATAAAGGGAGGGAATATAGAGATGGGTGCATGCATGGATGGACTTGTGAATGGATGGATCAATAAATCAATGGATGGTTGGATGAGTCTAGGGGTAGATAAATGGACAGATAGATAAGTATGTAGATGGATTGATGGATGGATGAATGGATGGGTGGGTGAATGGGTGGGTGGATGAATGGATGGGTGGATGAACACATGGCTGAATAGATATAGTAGATGCCTGTCTGAGGATGGATGGATGGATGGATGGATGGGCAGATGGATGGTTGAATAGAAGAAGACAGATGAGTACATGGAGAGACTGACAGATGGAGGGGAGGTTGAAAGGATAGATGGTCTGACAAGGAGCCATTTTGAACTCAGTCTTGAACTTTTGTTTTTCAGGCTGTCCCCCACCTGTCCTGCCCCTGTGTGCTTCTGTGTCTTTGCTGGGTGGCCTCACCTTTGGATATGAACTGGCGGTCATCTCGGGCGCCCTGTTGCCACTGCAGCTTGACTTCAGCCTCAGCTGCTCGGAGCAGGAGCTCCTGGTGGGCAGCCTGCTGCTGGGGGCCCTCCTCGCCTCCCTGGTGGGGGGCTTCCTCATTGACCGCTACGGCAGGAAACAGGCCATCCTGGGCAGCAACTTGGTGCTGCTGGCGGGGAGCCTGGACCTGGGCCTGGCTGGCTCCCTGGCCTGGCTGCTCCTGGGCCGCTCGGTGGTTGGCTTTGCCATCTCCCTCTCCTCCATGGCCTGCTGCATCTATGTGTCGGAGCTGGTGGGGCCGTGGCAGCGGGGAGTGCTGGTGTCCCTGTACGAGGCAGGTATCACCGTAGGCGTCCTGCTCTCCTACGCCCTCAACTATGCGCTGGCCGGTGCCCCCTGGGGGTGGAGGCACATGTTCGGCTGGGCCGCGGCGCCTGCTCTCCTGCAGTCCGTCAGCCTCCTCTTCCTCCCTGCGGGTGCAGGCGAGACTGCAGCGCACAAGGACCTCATCCCACTCCAGGGAGGCGAGGCCCCCAGGCCGGGCCCGGGCAGGCTGCGCTATTCCTTTCTGGACCTCTTCAGGGCCCGGGATAACATGCGAGGCCGGACCGCGGTGGGCCTGGGGCTGGTGCTTTTCCAGCAGCTGACGGGGCAGCCCAACGTGCTGTGCTACGCCTCCACCGTCTTCCAGGCGGTCGGCTTCCGAGGGGGATCCTCAGCCGTGCTGGCCTCCGTGGGGCTGGGCGCCGTGAAGGTGGCGGCCACCCTGACCGCCATGGGGCTGGTGGACCGCGCGGGCCGCAGGGCCCTGCTGCTAGCCGGCTGTGCCCTCATGGCCCTGTCGGTGAGCGGCATAGGCCTGGTCAGCTTTGCCGTGCCCATGCACGCGGGCCCCAGCTGCATGGCCGCGCCCAACGCCACCGGGCGGACGGGCCTCCCTGCAGACCCTGGCCTGCCGAAGGGCTCACCTCCCCCTCCAGTGCCGAGCGCCCGGGAGGACCACAGGGAGCCAGTCTTGTCAACCAAGCCCCACTCCGGAGCTGGAGGCCCCTCGGCCTGGCCCCTGCCAGCGTCCCCGCCCGCCGCCCCGGGGCCCGCGCTGCTGCGCTGGGCGGCGCTTGTCTGCCTCATGCTCTTCGTCAGCGCCTTCTCCTTCGGATTCGGACCCGGTGAGCGCGTTTCCGCAGATGGCCGGGGCTGGGCAGCTGGGGGCTGTAGGGTCGGGGGCTCTGAGCGGCGCCAGGGGTGAGTTGACCACGAAGCTTCAGGGCTCTTCCCAGGGCCTAACTTTGTGCTTGGATTATTGCAAAGGCTCCCAGCTCCGGTAAGCTTCCGGCCTCACGAAACCTGGGTCTGTCCCTGCATGGCTCCGTGAAACGGGTTTACGTGACAGGAATTTGCTGAACAGGGAGAAAACCGACATCCCGGTTTGCTCAGGACTGTCCCAGCCTCGGCACTGGGGGTCTCGTGTCCCAGGAAGCCCCTCAGTCTTGGGCAGAGCGAGACTGCGGGTCACCCTGCAGGGACTCTTGCAGCGGTAGGGGACAAGTGGTTTGGGAGAACCGGGTGTCAGGAGCTGACATTCTGCTTAAAGCACGCTGCTGGGAGGCTGCCTGCTGGACCCGTGGGTGCCAAGCCTGGGTCCCGGCCTCCACCCAGGAGCCCCTGCTCTCCCGCCCTAGTGACCTGGCTTGTCCTCAGCGAGATCTACCCCGCGGAGATCCGAGGGAGAGCCTTCGCCTTCTGCAACAGCTTCAACTGGGCCACCAACCTCTTCATCAGCCTCTCCTTCCTCCACCTCATCGGTACGTCCTCCCCGGCGAGTCCCTGTCTTCTGTGGCCCAGCCTAGAGCAAAAGAGCTGGTGAATTTCCCATTGCTAGCGGCAGAGTTACTCTGTGCAGAAGCTGCACAGAAGTGTGCAGGCCAACACCCAGAACACGCAGACACGCCGCACACTCCCCAGGGCAGCTAAGAGCGTGCAGTCTGCGCTTGGTGCCGGCGAGGGCTCGTCTGAGGGCCGTCAGCAGGTGCAAGGGTGGCAATGTTTATCTGCTCTAAACTGGCTTCAGCTGGCCCATACCACCTGCTGGCTGGAAGTTTTTCTCAGCTCTAGCTTGGATGGTACCCTCTCTACTCCCTAGGATTCTGCGGGCGGGGCAGAGATTGTATGGGCCCAGCACACCTGGTCTTCAGCAGCACCGCTCATCTGGGCAGAAGTGCATGGGCTCCTTCTCTGTGGCCCCAGGACACAGTTCTTAGGATTCTGCCATTCCTACTCACTGTAGCCAAGAGCGTCCTCTCAAAGGCACAGCCAGCTCGAGGGTGGGGAGAGTGCGGGAAACAATGGTAGAAGAACCCATGGACCATGGCTGTCTTCCCCCCCAGGCTTAGGGAATCCGCACTTCTCCCTGCTGCCTCAGGCTTCAAGGTTTCCCTTTTTTTTTTTTTTTTTTTTTTTTTTTTTATTTTGGCATATTATGGGGGTACAGATTTTAAGGTTTCAATAAATGCCCATTTCCCCCCCTCCCCCCAAAAGTCTGAGTCTCCATCATGACCATCCCCCAGATGGTGCACATCTCACTCACTATGTATGTATATACCCGCCCCCCTCCCCCCTCCCACCTGCCCAATACCCTATTACTGTAGCACCTATGTGTCCACTTAGGTGGTTTCCCTTTAAGTGGAGTGAGTGAGTGCCAGCGAGAGGGGAAGGGAGGGAGGGAGGCAGGAAGGGGGGAAGGAAGGAGAGTTTATTAGAATTGTGCCATGTCATTATTATCCCCATTTCACAGATGGGGTAATACCTCCTTCCCAAGTCCAGCCAGGTAGTCAGAAGACTAGAACCAGTCCCCCTGCCTCCCCGCCAGTGCTCCTCTTGCTGGACACCAGGCCCAGCTGGTCAGGGAGGCTGCTTGGAGGAGGCGTGGCCATGGCTGTTAGAAGCGAGAGCGGCGTCCAAAGCATAATTTGTGCTTCCACCTCGACAAAGACTGTGCTCCACATGCTCCCTTTGTCTTGGGCTGACTGACTTCAGAAGACTTGGGGTCATCCCCGTCCTAGTGCCTGGCCCTGCGACCCTGGCCCCACCAGAGGTTCCAGGAAGAGAGAGGGGTTCTGTGCTTCCCCCTCCCCCGGGACTGACCCGTGGCTTCCGTCCTCTTTCCCGAATCAGTCAGACGTAGGCCAGACTGGCTGAAACTCAATTCCCTGAATGATCAACTGACTGCATGACCAATTCCTGTAATTTCTGAGGATTTTGGGAAACTGACCTTTGCCAGGCTGCGTCCTAGCAGCCGTTTCGCCATTCCCCCTGGATGCGGGCTTTGCAGCAAGCTCCGCCGGTTAGCGCTTTGGTGCGGGTCAGTGGCCTTTCCCATAAGCACAAGTTGCCGTCTCTCTGTTTTTGGACTCGTGTGTGCCCTGGCCCTTCCCCTGCCTTTGGGGCACCCGGTGAGATTCCTGCTTTAAGGTTCTTGCCTGACAACTTGTTGGTCACTCTGCAAAGGGACCATGTGGAACATTTGCTTGGCTGAACTGACTGTCCACGCTTGCCCTAGAACCCGGCGGCTGGCCCAGGCCCACCCTCCTGCCCTCCTGTTCCCAGGTGCCATCGGCTTGTCCTGGACCTTCCTGCTGTACGGACTGACCGCTGTTCTCGGCCTGGGCTTCATTTATTTATTCGTTCCCGAAACAAAAGGCCAGTCGTTGGCGGAGATAGACCAGCAGTTCCAGAAGAGACGGTAGGAGGTGGACAGGGGGCTCTGGGGGGAAGAGCTGTATCCAAACCTGAGCATGTGGCTTCAGGATTTTGGTTCTCGTGCTTTCCCTTTGCAAGAGAGTGTCTCTCTTCTCTTCCCATCTCGCCTACTGCCTGGGCACTGTGCCTTTTGTCCTGTTGTTGTACATGAGCCGTTTTCCTTGAGTTGTTTTGTATCTTCCTACAGCATCTTTTCATTTGACTTTAAGGCCCAGCTCACAGGGACTTTAAAATCACTCAATTATGGAGTCACAGGAGCTTAGACTAGTGGAATCTTAAACTCACAGAATCTCAGAGTCACAGAACAAAGAATTATACCCATGGCCTTTAAAAATTGTATACAAAACACCCGTGCACTTAATCCATTCATTCAGTGGATATTTACTAAGTCCTTACCAGTTGCCAGGCAGTGTTTGGGCCCTTAGGAAATGTGACTGAGATTAAGAATGACAAGGTCCTTGTCCTCAAAGAGCTTCCATTTGAGGTGGGGAGAGGGTCAGGGAAGAAACAAGCTAACAATGCATAAATAAGAGCATTTTAGCTGGTGATGTGTAATTAGAAGAAAATGAAACAAAGCTAAATATGTTGAGAGGGCTAGGTTGGTGGAGAGGGGGACAGAGGAGAAAGGGGTCATGGCTAAAGTCGGGAGGGTGGTCAGGGAGGGAAGATCTCTCCAAACAGGTGCAATGTAAGTTAGTAAGAAGAAGGGATTCATTATGTTAAGATGGGGGGATGGAGTCCAGGTAGAGAAAACAGCCAGTGCAAAGGCCCTGAGGTTGGAGCTTACATGGCATATGCAAGGAGCAGTAAGGAAGCCAACATGGCCGGAACAGAGGGAGGGAAGCGGGAGGACTAGAGGATCAGATGGGTGGGAGCTAGATCCCAGCAGGTCTTTAGGTCACTGGAGGGTGGGAACGAGGGGGCTCCAGTGGACAGTCTACTGCACCGCCCCTGCCACCTCCTCATCCCACCCATTCTGTTTGACAGGTTTGCCCTGAGGTTTGGCCGCGGGCAGCACTCAGCTGGCATCCAGTACAGCCGCATCCAGGTCTCTGTGGCCCCCTGAGGAGTTCGCCTGCCTGGAAATCCCTGCGCCGTGGCCTTACAGACCATCCCAGCTGCCTGCTCCCCGGGCCCTGGAGCACAAGTTCCAGGTGGTCCTGTGTGAGTGGCTACACCCCCCAAAGGAGGTCTTTTTTTGCTAGGGGTGAGAGGAAGCACAGTCTGAGAACTCCAAACTCTTCATTTTGAGTCTCATACCCTGAGGGTTCCTGGGGATCTAGCATCATGCCTCAGTTTCCCCACTGACTTTACACATCTTTGCAGTATTTAGGACAAGAACAACTTATAGAGTCTTCGTTGCACCATCGACTTTCTCAAAGAATCTCTAGGGTACCGGTCCTGGGAAGAAGTCTCCCCTTAATCCAACTGAGGATATCATGTTTTCTACTCTCTTTTTTCATCTTGCTGGGACATTTTGGTGAAGGGTAGCCCCGCTTTTGGACTCTTGTTTCTGAGTTTTGTTCAACCCCTCTAATTCTCTTATGCAGAATATTTATTCTTCACCAGCACCTGTGGTGGAGACCCGAGTGCCCGTTCTGGCCCTGCTGGTGTCGTTGCCCTCTGACTGGGGCCTCGTCCCTTCTGTGTCAGCGGGGAGGCCTGGGCCAGGCCGTTCTTAAGATCTGCGATGAGCTGGAATTCTAAATGCTGGTGGCACAACAAATATTCACATGGGCCCCATCCTCAAGTTGCTGGGTACCTCTTTAAGGGATGTAAGTTTTAATCAGTAGGAAAGGTAAGTAGGATTCCAGAGTTGTGCATACTGACCTCCAAGAACCAGCACAGCACACATGCACAAGCGCCAGGAGCTGTCCCCAGGGTGTGCAGGATGGCTCTGCAGAAAGGACATGGGTTTGGAGGCCAACAAACCTGGGAGTCGGGGCTGCCTCTGCCTTTGGCAGCCATTGACCTTGGGTGAGTAATACCTCCCGCAAACCAGTTTCCTCGGCTGTAGAATGGGGGCAATTATGTTCCTAAGGATGTGTTCCACCCCTGACTCCCTTCAGGGGGTCCTAGCTGGTCCGGGGCCTGGGGGATTTCTGCTCAGCCTCTGTTACCCAGGTCCCCACTGTTGGGATGTTATAAAAGGTCAGTCCTCAAAGAGTGAGTCGGATGGAGACTAAGCAAGTGGCTGAGGCTGGCGGTCACTTAAGGAAGGGGCTGACAAGAAGGAGCCCCCAGATGCCGAGGGGAATGAGGAGCTAAAATAGATCCTGGGGGCCGGTGTTGGACCGTCCCGTGGTGGCCGGAGCTGGCTATGCCGGCTTGTGAGAGCTCACTCACATTTTCAGGATTTTTACGAGCTAGTTGTTAAACACAGCCGTCATAGCAAATTAAATGGCTTAGACTTATCATTAAATAAATTATATTAAAACAAAGGTAATACTGAAAAATCAATACCTCTTAATCCTTTGTGCCTTTCTATTATCTGTGCCCTGGGGTTTATCTACATGTAGAGTGTCTTACGGGGCCTCGGGGAGACACCACACACCTCTTCCCGGTGCTGTGCTCAGTGAGGTCACGGAGGTTGCTGGTGGCTTCGCTGGCGATGGGAGAGCATTTATGCCACAGAGATTAGAGAGCATTACAGATCAGGGCTTTATTTATTGTTCTCTTGATTTTCTAGACTTGAGAACATGCCGGATAAAATGGTAGTAATGCAAATTAAACTTTAAAATGTGTCTTGTTTGTAGCCAATTCTTTGTGAATAACACAAAAAATTGCGGGGATGTTCTCTCAGCGTTTGAACACTGCTATCCGGTTCTGCAGACATTTGCCCGTGTCATTGAAGAAGGGGCTCTAACATACATCTTTATTGCTTTACTTTTGTCTTCCTTGTGAATGTAAACAAATATTCCAACCAGCACTCATGCCAGACCTAACCTTGTTCTTCGGTGCTGAGCTATATAGTTAGCTATCAGGCATTATTCATGGTCTAATTTTGTCAAATGATGACTAAAGTGCAGTGAGAGTTGACTTTGGATACAAGTGTTTGGCCAAAAAAATCAACAAAAGCATTCTGTAAGAGTTCATTGGCTGTATGGAATTTATAATAAAGAGTGTTTACAATAAAGAGTTTATTATTTATAAATTATATACAATAAACACGTCCTTTATCTCAGTAAAATGTACACACACACACAAACACACACAGTTTTTTCCATGGCAAGCAGTTGTTAAGTATTTACCAGCTCATGTCTATGCCTGTGGCCTCTTCAAATCAGTTCTCTTTCTATGAACCCATAAACCTCTCTCAGTTTTCTTTTCCCCTGAAATCATCTGAAAATCATCTGAATTTTCCAAAATTCTAAACTTGAAAATAGCTTATGAGCTAAACAAAACACCCTATGGCCAGATCCATGCTTCCATTCTTGAGTTTTTCCTTTTGAGACACTGCTTATCTTCTGCATTTTTGAGGCTCTCAGCTTAACCGTGACTTTTGAAAATCAATACCAAGCAAACCAAATAGCCAACACTTGAATTGGGTGGGCGGGAGAGGTGCTCTTGAACCTGGAGGAACACATACCTGGCAGGAATAAAAATAGCCCGTGCCTCAAACATATGACTTGGCGCAATTACCGTACGATGTGAGTGATTGCTCATGTGTGTTACGGGCACAACGCTGCTTGCTCTTCAGAGACGACGCATGTCAATCACTTAGTACAGGGCCGGGCTCATAGTGGGTGCTCCTAAATGGCTGAGTGACTGTCCCAGCAGCCCCAGGGGACATCTGGCTGTGGGTGAGGACAATGAAGGCAAGGACCAGGTGGCAGTTGGAAATGGGGAGGCATCAAGGAAAACTAAAAATTGGGGGCACATGGTAGGTACTCAGAGGTCTTTAGCACCAACCGGAACAGAGAAGTGTTCTGTTCACTGATCTGCAGGGCAGGTGCTGGGAAATCCTCCTCCTTCTCCCAAATAACCCCAGAATCAGCCCAGAGAGGCAGCTCCCAAGCCCCGGCCTTCTGCACGCACAGCCCGTTCCTAATGCGCGGCCGTCGCTTGGCGCCTTTGATTATCTGCCAAGCTGTACTGCATGGGCTACTTAACCGAATGCTTTTCTTCAAATTGATTTGCTTTTCCACTTAAATACATGCATTTTAAAGAGAAACTATATTAATTTTCCCCTCTAGTGCATATTTATTGTCTATTGTGTGCTAGGTGCTGTTCTAGACCCTGAGGGCACGGCAGTGGAGGAGGTCCCTGTCCTCGGGAGCTGACGTTCTAGTGGGGCGGGTAAATTGGGAATAAGGAGATGGGGAGGAGGGCAAGGCAGAAAGGGAAGGGAAGGAAGAAGGATGGATGGAAAGAAGGAAAGAGCAAGAGAGAGAGGGAGGAAAGGGAGGGGGAGAGAGAGGTCAGTTAGCGATGAGTGCTAAGGAAAGATAAGGGGCTAGAGAGAGGTGGAACAGGGACGAGATGCAGATGTCTGCGTGCTGTTTTAGCTAGCACAGCTGGGTAGTCGGGGAGAGCCTCTTTCAGGTGGTGGCATCTGAGCAGGGACCTGCAGGAAGGGCTAGAGTGAGCCACGAGGTCTGGGGCGAGAGCATCGCAGGCAGGTGGCCCAGCATGTGCAAAGGCCCTGAGGTGAGGCTGGGCTGGGCGCACGGGAGGAGCGCCAGGTGGCGCGAGCGGAGTGCACAGTGATGGAAGAAGAGGGCGAGACCAGCAGGGGTCCCACCCACTATGAAGAATCTTCCAGGCCTCGCTCAGATGTTATTCTCACTGTGCGGGAAGCCGCTGGCGGACTGTGATGAACTCCAGTGGGCTGACGAACTCTGACTCGATGCTGTAAGACGCTCCCTGCGTGTTGGTGGACACAGAAAGCGAGTATTAATTACAGCAACAGGAAGAAACCATTAAAATACTGCAAGAGCCACTCGGCGTCACTGAGTTCTTGCACGCCATTGCTGCCTGCCGAGGGTGCGGGGCCTGGGGCCCGCCCGTGTTGGGGGGAGAGCTCAGCAGGTGCGAGAGAGGCCTTCAGCGACGTGACTCAGCGTATTCACTCAGCACGTGTACGCAGTTTGTGAACCGCCTAAAGTCAACCCCAGCGCCCTGCGTCCCACTCTTTGGTAAATACAGTCTCGGGTGAGAACACCAGGAAGTCACAGCGCCAAGAAAGGGCAAGCCTGCGTGGACACAGCTACCACCTCGCTGCTGCCTCGCAGGGGGAAGGCAAGGAGCAAAGAAGGGACAGGATGTGAACCCCGACGCTTCCCACACCGGACACCATGGATGCGGGAATTTCCGTCCCTGTCTTGCAGGTGGGGACGCTGAGGCTCATGAGGCCGATGGCCCGACTGACCCTCTCCGTTCCTGCCGGCCACCCCAAGTGACCTAACATCCTCGTGAGTGACCCTTCACCAGTCTGCCTCTCCCAGTCGGTCCCCGTGGCCTGTCTTCCACTTCACCTCGTACACCCTGAACGCGTCCAACCTCAAACTTTCAAGGTTTTTATCTCGAACATCCCACTTTCTGGTTGCCACGTCCTAACACTCCCACTAAGACTCTAATGCTCCCCCATGGCAACAACTCTCGGACCCCACTGAGAACTTTGACCTCTACATGCCAACCCCTGACCACACCCCTTTCCCAGCTTCTGTGAACCTCTCCCTGCCTGTCCTCCTTGTCCTCCCCGGATGCCCCATCCCGATCCCAATTTTGTAATCCAACCCTTGCAAACACCCTCGGGTCACTTGGCCATGCTAATCCGGGATTAATGTGCACGCCCATCTTCTCTTTGCTTGCACCTGGGCTGTGAATGCTGTAGGTGGTGCGGGAGGGAGGGGTGGGGCGCAGGCGGAGCAGAGACAGGAGGCCACCTGGCCAAGAGGAAAGGCCCAGAAGTCGCACGGCAGGTGCAGTCAGGAGACCCAGGTTTGAGGTCCGCCTCCGATACTTTGCTAGTATTGGGAACTCCGAGCCTCAGTTTCCTCTACCATACAATGTGGGTGGCAGAGAGAGGCCCCACCTCAAAGTGCCGCTGAGAAGATGCATTGAGATACAGGATGGGAAACCACCTTCCACGCTGGGGAGGGCGGTGCGCCCACACAGAATGGGGACCTTCCAGAAGTTTCCCGCCCAAGGGCTGTCCCGAGCTCCTGCTCTGTCCCGGGGCCAGACTCATGAGCTGTATTCGTTCATTTTATTTTCCAGCTCAAATATTTGTTCATCTGTGGCGTAGGGGGAGGATGGAATTTTGATGGGAGACGCAAGATTTTCCCAGACACCCTCTGAAAGAGTTTCCAGACTGTCACATGCTGGGCCCCTTCCAGACCCGAAAATAATCTGTCGTGGATGGTCTGGCACATGGCTTTGCAGCTTTCCTCCTTGTGCAATTTTGAAGTGGAAAAAATTGCACTTCATTGATCCTCACAAGAGGAAAAAAACGCCCAAGTAGATTTTTATATTGAAAGTCTCCTATTCTGAATGAAATTAGATAAATAAAATTCAATTCTTAAAAAATTATTTTGTTCAATATTTTGAGTACATATTTCAAGATTATAATACACTCTAAGTTATTTATTAATAGTTTTGCTTTGTATTAAAATTCTATTAAAGTTGAAACATGTGTTGACTCAAATTTCGGTCTTCTGAAATTATTGAATTAACATACTCTTTCTTAATAGTCATAGGAGCTGCTTTCGTTAAGATATTTGGGTCCTTAACAATTGTTTTTGCACATTAAATCAACAGCTTTCACTGTCTGTGTGTGTTTCCACTGAATTTGGCACCACACGAAATTGCTAAATTCTTCCAGATTTGGAGTCAGATGCCGTCTGACTCTTCCGGTTTGACAGGTTGGGTTAGTGGTTACTGAGAAATGGTCCCCAAAGCTCTCCCTGTAGCATATTATCCTTGCAATAATAAATATTACATGTATCTTTAAGCTGATCAATAGAATTTCAATATCTGAAGCAATAAAGGGATTTTTTTGAAACACCTCCAAGTTGCATCTCAAAGGTGAATAATGTGCCTTGTCTGTTTTATTGATTAGACCGATAGAAACCTGTCTGGCGACAGACTCTCTGATGACACTTGCTCTGGCCAATAGGATGTGGGCTGAAGCCACACACAGAGTGCCAGTTCCCAGCCTAGACATTGAGAGACATCTAGAGACTTCTAGGGGCCCTAGAAGGAGAAACCTGGACTAGACCTGAGCAAGACCTGCAGCCTGAAGCAGGGCTGCTCCAGCCGATTCACACATCTGAAAATGAGAAAGAAATGCCAGTTAGGAGTCTGGCCTTGTTTGTTATGCAGCAAATGCTGACTAATACAGAATCCAACTAGGTAGGAAGTGTTTGTACCTCACCCACTGAGTATACATACACTCACCAGGCCTGAAAGCCCAAATTTAAAAAAATAAACTAATAACAATCCAGTTTTTGTTTTCAAAAATAAAAAATATTGAAAAACATAGGAAAAATTTAGAATCACTTATGCCCTACCACTCAGATGTAATCATTAACAAGGTTTTGGTGTATATCCATCTCACCTCTTATCTCTGATGACAGAGCAAGTGACTTAGATGGGAAGACAGCCCAGTGGCAACCCCGTCCTTCCTCTTGTTCAGCTCAAAAGCCTTGGCAGCATCCCTCACCCTTCTTGTTCTCTCTTGTTCAAGGTGTCCGCAAATCCTGCGGGCTCTGTAGAATCCGGCCTTTCTCATCAGCTCCTCCATCCCCATCACCCCCACCTCCGGTCTGTCACCTGGCTGGGGTGCAGCAGCCCCCTAATAGGCCTCCTTCCTTTCGTCCTTGCCCCCGCCCATCCTGCAGGTGGCAGCCAGAGGGGCTTTTAAAATCCCAGTCAGTTCATGTCGCTCTTCTGAGCTAGTGTCCCGAGGCCCCCTCGTATGCAGGGGGTGCCTTTCAGGACCCCTCAGGCGTCCCAGGAGCTGCCCCCCTTTCCTCTCTGACCCCATCTCCTCTCGGTCCCTTCCTCACTCAACGCGCCCAGCCTTCCCCTGTTCCTCCAACACCCCACACACCCTCTGCCTCGCGTTCCCGGCTCTTTCTGTGCCCTTTGTTGGAAATGTACATGTGCCTTGTCCCTTGCT